CCAGAGGGCACTGAGATGGGTCTCTGTTGGTTGATGATCTGCACACAGGCTGTGTGACTCGGCCAGAGAGCTAAGTTGCTGAAGAGGCTTTGATGATCTGCACACAGGCTGTGTGACTTGGCCAGAGAGCTAAGTTGCTGAAGAGTGTGGGACAGAGTGTGCAGGCCTGCACAATCAGCCACAGGAGCACTCAGCCAGGTGTGGAGCTAACCCAGCCAGTTCTGTGTCCTATGCTCGGGCTGTAGGACAGGTTGCGATGGAAGCAGAAAATAGCTTTCTTTCTGGCCATCAATACCAGAGTTATTTAATCTGTGCTTGATGTGATTGGTGGCTGCTTTAGCTCCCAAATGTTAAGGTGTCAGAGACCTTCTGCCCACACACCCCTACTCGCCTTGTGCCAAGTGGAGGTCACTGGATCCCAGGACTTACACCTTAAGTTCCTTATCATTCCTCTGCCTACTTCCGTGCTAAGCAAGATGGATTTCATATATGGTAACTTTCAAAGGCTAATGTGGATGTCCCTTATGTGATTGTCCAAGAGATTATGCTCTAGTTCTCTTCCCATATTCTTGGAATTCATATAGGTGGGCAAGTTTGAAGCCCGGTGTCCAATTTTTTTAGAGTACAACTATCCAGTTCATCACGATGTACAATATGCCTTGCATAGTTATCTCACCTGTGTGGGTGATGGCTTGGATGCTGTTGGTGAGATGTTTTTTCTGTCTTATTAAAATAGCTATTGTGCTGGCAGTCAAGATTGTGTAATGATTTTAGAAAGCTATTTCTTTTCCAAATGCATTATGACTGGAAAGGGCTTTGTATCTTTCCAGCTGTACCTTTATGCTTTGAGGCTCACTTTGTTTTTGAAAGGCCTTTTCTGTTTGTACTGCTTATAATCAGTTTTCCATATAACTAAGATGTGGGAGAAAGGCAGGTTCTTCCATGATAGCTACAACATGTGGCCACATTTGATCTGGAAAGTGTTCCTGTTTCCTGATATTTCTATCTATTGTAGATTCTTTTTGGTAAACACTATTTAAGTTGAAATTCTATAACATTAAGGGGCAGTAGTGTAGGCCAGGAGATGGGACACTAGATTAGAAGGACCGAGGCTCTGTGACTGACCCATTGTGTGACCATGTCTGACTATGACTCAGGTTTTTTCCTCTTTCAAATGGAGATATTGGCACGAGAGCCAAACATGGTTGAAGTGTGGTTATACAAAAATGTTTGCTCTTAAAATGAAGTCGCTCTGTTAGCATCAGTATCAGGCTCATTTTAAAAGTATTTTCCACATGCTGCATGATTCAAACTCTTACACTTTAATTTCTGAGGCAGGGGATTGCAGCTCCCAAGCCCTCTGGTTTCCTAAATTACAGTAACTTCAGTTGTGGCTGCCTAACACCTAGGGTCTGTGAGTTGTCTTCGTCTCTCCTTGCACACTATTTCCAGAAAGTCACTTGGATCAGTCCATCAGATCCATGGCCTGAGTGAACCTGAGGCAAGAGATGCTGTGAATTAATTGTTCCTCTCCAGTGGGTGGTGATCAGCCGTCTTTATTAGGCAGGCGGCCATGAGATAGCACTGGTTTAGGTTGTGCCCCGTCTGTATTCTGTGGTAGAGACTCCAAATTTGGATGCAGTGCTTTTCTTAACCTCTCCAGTAGCAGGTCCATGGAACACCTCCACCTGAAAAACAGTACAGTCCACCCTCTCTATAATTCCATTCATAACTATGAACATCTGGCCCCCAGAGTCCAGGTGGTAGCACCGTATGATATTGTTTTTAGAAGAATGGGAGGAGGTGTTACATAGCTATGCACAGTTTTTGTCCAGGATTGAGCCCATGGGCAGAGACCAAGGTGTAGACTCCTCCCGACCTCCTGTTACTATGCAGGCTGACAGCCTGAAGCCTGGGGCTAAAGTCACAAGTCATTAAAACCTCCCTTCCTGATGAACTTTTAGCCACTATTGTTGTTAATAAATTAATTATTTTAGCTAACACCTTTATCCAAGGTAACTTCATTAACCTACTCCAGCAGCTTATGGTCCATTTTGATTTGTCCTTTTGGTGTAATTAAAGCCTGGTTATAACAAACCAAAGGCTTGGATCCTGACAGGTTTGTTATTGGGCAGGCCACCAAGTGGGGGGAGGGTAACTGCCTTAGGGTATGTCTACACTACAGCGCTAATTCGAACTAACTTAGTTCGAATTAGTTAATTCGAACTAAGCTAATTCGAACTAACGCGTCTAGAACTAAAAACTAGTTCGAATTAGCGTTTTGCTAATTCGAACTAGCATGTCCACATTAAGTGGACCCTGAACAGGGCTTAAGGATGGCCGGAAGCAGTGACGGCAGGGCATCAGAGGAGGACTTAGAGCGTGGAGATGCTGTCTCAGGCTAGCCGAGGGCTGCGCTTAAAGGGCTAAGCTAATTCGAACTAACGCGTCTAGAACTAAAAACTAGTTCGAATTAGCGTTTTGCTAATTCGAACTAGCATGTCCACATTAAGTGGACCCTGAACAGGGCTTAAGGATGGCCGGAAGCAGTGACGGCAGGGCATCAGAGGAGGACTTAGAGCGTGGAGATGCTGTCTCAGGCTAGCCGAGGGCTGCGCTTAAAGGGACCCGACCCCCACCCCGGACAGACAGTTCTCAGGGGTGCCCCGCTTGAAAACCAGTCCTGGCTTGGAGTGCCCGGAGTACCCACACTGGGCACATCACAGCACTCGGCCATCAGACCGCCTGCACTTGCCGCAGGCTGCCATCTGGGGAGAGGGG